GCTGAATTATGTATCTATAAAATTATGATCTTTATTAAATATTCCTCGGCGCAATGCGAAATACAAGAAACATTAAGACATAATTTCACTTCGTGCAAACGATATGCTTCAATTCTTTTTAATTTTTTATTTATTTATCGCACTTCTTTGTCGATTTTTTTTTAATAAATTGGCAACGAGGTATTTTGTCATCACTTAAAAAGATTTTTGTAGAAGAAGACAATAATAGTGTTAATCTTTTAATATCTTTTAGTTTCTCCTCTCTATCTATCTATCTGTCTATCTCGTTCTGTTGGAATACACCTGTTGATCCTCAACTGAACTCAAGCCGATTAGCGAGCAAGCCATTTTGCGGCGAAGTTAAGGTTCGAAGCGTGCATTATCGTTATCGTGGCGCTATGTACAATTGCGTTGTGTTGGCGATCCACAGCTAATCGAGAATGGCATCGAGACGCACGTACTGGTAGTCCTGAACAAACGATTTTATCGTCGCGAATACTTCCTGGTCGCGGTATAAGAATTTACTTACCGTTATCGACTCATTGATGTTTCCAAATAATTTTTAGGAAAAGCAATTTTCTCTAAAAATATATATGCAAACATATAACACATTAAGCTAAAGTGTTTATATTTATATAGATTTTTATATTTATATAATAAATTACTATGCTATTATTGTTGTCAGTATTTATCAGTATTCACCTACGAAAGAGGTCACAAAAAGAGAAATTAATTCTCTATTCTCAAAATAATTTTCGTTTAAATGGGGAAACAGTCGATTACTAACCGAGTCAACATTCTACGCGGGATTAAATCACGATGTAATAGGAGAGCTCGTATCGTAATGGTGTAAATTTGGAATCGGGGTTCACGAACCTCCAGGCAAACCTAAATATTTGGTACCGCCGGCTCGCGTAAACGTCCGCTATTCGACGAAAACGTCGGTTAGCTACGCGGTGCCGCACTTAACTCTTTTAAGCACGTGTACATCAAGCCGGAGAGCAAGAGGCTTCGTGTACTTATACTTCGTATACTTATATACTCGCCGCATTGGTCTTTAACACGGCGATTATGCCAGGCGGTTTTCTTAAACGAAACCATATGCCGGGATTTTGTACTGCTCTACACCGTGCCCGTATATTTGTGCGGCGAGCAAATTTTAAACGGATTATCAAAAGCTCTAGGTTTACTTCAAATTATTAACACTATGAGTCAATGTTAATAACGATATGAAATAATAATATGAAATAATCCGTAAATAATGCGATAAATTTCAGAAATATGTGTCGTCTGTAACAACAAATAACTTTTTAAAAAAGTAAAAACAAGTGTCGATATAAAGGTTCCTTTTTTTTTTTGATAAAGAAGTAGAATATATCAGAGGAAACCTTGATCACTCTGACATTAGCCTAATCTACGACTTGACACTAATCTGACTAACTTAAATGTTACCCCGTACGACCTTCACTTAACTGTATTCCGATATCTAATTGTAAAGTTAAATACCTCCAATTAATCTCAAATTACAAACAGTTCTTTTTATAAGAAGATAGGACAGAGGTTGAAATCTTTAATCTCTTATATTTTAATGTAAATTTTATTTTTTAACGTAAAATTACAGGATAAAATTTAAATATAAATATTTAATTTAAAGAAACAGATTAATTCCTCTTTATATTTTTATGAAAAAAGGAATCAATTGTGTATTCTTATTCGTCAAGGAGCTACGGATGAAGAAGTAATAGATTAATTCTCAGTCATAAAAGCGACAGTAGTCAACCATTCAGATACATATGCAAGACGTTTGAATTAGATACGAGCATCCATTCCGCAAAATCAGGACATTCTCGTGAGAGATGTCTACTCCTCGACAGAGCCGAGTGCGTCACGACGCACAAACGAGGCACATAATTCCCGGCGGATCGCCCTCTCGCGCGCGTAATCGCAGAATTATGTCACGGCGTAGCTGCGAGATTCCTCTTTGACGGGGCTGCTGCTGGTTACGTCATGTCGCCGATGCGTGGAAACAGAGGGAGTTGCCGCCTGCGTTACATATTTGGTAGGATATCGTTATGCGCCGAGATCGGATGCATAAAACACATCCCGCGAGACATCGTCATTATGGAAGAATTCGGCAAGAATCAAAAAGAAGGGAAAAAGGATTTTTTTTTTTATCAATCGGCTTTCGCACGTTTAATGACTGACTCGTTTAATCGAAAAATTCTTTACTAACGTAACATATATTTTTTTTAACGTACTATTTTTACGTTACTTTTTATCTAATGAGAAATGTATCTCTCTTTCTTCACCGACGAAAAAAGAGGGACAGGAGGAGGAGAAGAAGGAGAAGCAAAAGAAGAAGAAGAAGAAGAAGAAGAAGAAGAAGAAGCTGCGGAATCAACTTGCGCGCGCGCGTTCGCTGAGATTGTCAGGAGAAGCCGTGTTAAGCGATCCCACGCACTTAAGTTAATTGCATGAATTACGCTGACGACGCGATATTGATATTACGGGATAATACGCGCACGTGAATGGCTTCACCAAGTGGCTACAACGCTGCGATTTTAGACAGTTTAACATTTTTGTGCGTCGTTTATTAAAGACAATAATCCTATTTCTTTTAAGATCTGCAAAAATTTGATTATAAGTAGCATATTATATTTTGAAAAACTATGTTCTTAACTTAAATCGTCTTATATTCGAAAGTACAGTTTAAGCAATTAAAAAGGAATAAATATGCTTAATTAACAAAATAAAAAAATGCTAAGATAAAAAAAATTCCTTAAATATAAAACTATTAACAAATATTTGTTAGACTGTATATTTAAATAATTATATATAAATTGATGAAATAATATAAAATAATAAAAAGTTAAAATAGCTTATATTTAATTATATGTCATTAAAGTTTAATAAAAATAATAATAATAATAAAGTTCAATATAAAAAATAATAACATCAATAATAACATCAATATAAAATATTTTCTAGTGCGAACTGATAAGCAGATTATCTTAAAAATATAATGTAATCAAAAATGTAAAAGTTGATCTACTTACCCCAATCTGCTTTATAAAATATAAAATAAGTTTAATAAATAGGACGTATTTTCTCAATTTTATGAGAATTTGCAATTGTCAATGATGCAAAAAATGCTTTCTCTCTTTCTCTCTCTCTCTTTTATCATTTATATTCTTATATATAGTTGCATTTCCAGATCTTCTCTTCCATGATACTTAAGTAAAACGACATCGTCTTTCGCAGTAACATAATAGTGACATTGAGATTATACAGTAGCGGTTATATCATTGCATAAGTAACATTAGCCTTGAGATACCGAGCTTAGAGTTTAAAAAGTCTTCCAAATTGCGTTTGTCACACCGCATTATATGAATTTCTTCAACAAATAAAAATTAGATCGCAACATTCTTTGATAAATTATATGATTTTAGTGTACAAATCAGAAAATTTCGATATTATTTTTACAACTTTATTCAATTATTTCTTTCTTTCTTCTTCTTGCTAAAATTATATTCTTTTCCAGAATTTATTTGTCAAAAATAATTCTTAGACGTTTTAAATCTGTGTCTTTCTCCAATTACTTTATACTCGCCAGGTATGAATTCTCGAGTCTTATAAAAAAAAATATTTGCTACCTCTGCTATGCGCATCATATTATGAGACAAACGATGAAACGTCATAAGCTACGGAATAAAAATGAGACACATGCAGTGAGATAAGCAGGAAAATGGGCAAGGGAAAAGAATAACGAGGAACGATGCCCGGCGTTCCTCGAGAGCCTGCTCGGTCCTGGAGTGCGTCGTTGACACAAGCAGAACTTTCATCTACAAGGCAAATGTATGGAAGTACGATTCCGTTTTCGTTCTCTTCCACGTTATTCAAATAGAGTGCGGCCTTCGTGACGCACTGGCGTAGTCGTGAGATTATCATACAATACCAGTATTATTAATTTATTAATTCATCAATTTGTTTTATCAAAAAATTTGTGAATATATAGACTCCTTGAAATTTTGGGAAAGAAAAATAATACAAACTTTGATCAAATTTTCATACATCAACTAATTCTCCGATTAAAAATATAATATTTATATTTATATATTAATATTTATATAAATCTTGACTAGTATCAAATGAAATAACTTTATACACCTTATACACAAAGCATAAAATTTTCTATGAAACAATTAATCACTTTGTTGGAAAAATAATTTTTTAATTAATCAACTCGATATATTATGATTTTATTATTATTTAAGAATGAGATGCTTTAATCATTAAATAAGCATCGCAATATTGAAAGTCTAAAAACATAATGATTTGCCAATTTTCAAAATATAAATGAATATTGTAAAATTAAAATTACATTATGTCAAAACTAAAGAGTCTCATAAATGTTCTTCTTACTTTTGGAGTTTACGGATTTTGCTTACAGACTTACGCCACTGGTCGCAATCAATGTGCTCTTCCTCTATGTGCAGTCCCTGTTCCCGATTCCGAATTTTTAATGATATAACAAAACCGTTTTTAATAAATTTTTATCGATTTTATACGACCCTTACAACGAGATCCGTTCTTTTGGATATTTTATTTCCATTTTAGATAAACGCAATTTATCAAGTTACGTAATTATTTACGTAATACATTTTCTGTTAACGCGCAACATATTTCCCAATTATCGCTGCAACGTTTGTCATTAATAAAGTGGCATTTTCGAGCATAAAATTAGAGGTATTAAACCTCGCAGAAGTTCTTTTAAGAGTTTCTACTTTTCGATTTGTTGTACGTTTTTCAGATAAATAAAATTTCATAAATCCCGACTCGATCGCCGTCGGCTTATGTACTAAACCGCTTATTGCTGAAATCCAACGTTTAAGTCGATTTAAGACCTTGTTGAAATCGATCTTGACAAAAGAAACCGGTCTACACGAACATCGAACTCTTTACGAAGGATTTCTCTAATAAGTATCTATAATGTGTTTCAGATTTGCAGAGACTCGTACAAATGCAATTGTACCGGAATAAAAGGGCAGCCAGGATATCCTGGGATACCTGGGCCACAAGGACCAGAAGGACTCCCAGGTGACACTGGACCCGATGGCCCCTTTGGACCCAAAGGCGAGAAAGGAGCAGGAGGAGAGCCTGGAGCTACCGGAGAAAAGGGCTACCGAGTAAGAAAAATTGCTTTTATTATTAGATAATGACATCGTTTCTTTCTCACAACATAATATAATAATGCAATAAGTACTCTGCAGAACTTAAATAATAAATTATATAATAATACAATAATATAATGCGGAAATACGAATCTCTTAGTCCCGCAGTAAAACAAATCCAGCGGTGCAAAATGAAAAAGCGGTATAGTTTGAATTTGCGATTTAAAATTTGAAACTATTTGCTGAAAGTGTTGACATAAAACTCATTTCATTTCATATTTCTATGTCGAAAGGTTTAAGTAAACAGTTACGTAAAATCTTTCCTGAAAATCGATTCACTCTGTAGAGAGGGCTCGTGATCTGTTATAATTGATTTTTCTACGAATTTTGAAAACTTTGAAAGAGAAGTTTTGTCAAGAAGATTATTTATATAAAATTATTTTTTTTTTTTGACATAATCCAAATTACATAAAATGCTTACTGCAATATTCAAGTGTTAATTATTTTATCAAAATTATTATTTTACTTTCTGCAGTATTTATTTCTAATGCAATAATTCTATCTATATATTTTTGCATATATCTATGTGCGACTGGCAATTACTATCAATTAAACCAATTATAACAGTAATTAGTTTCTTTACAAGCGACTGTTTCACGTTTTAATTAAAGTTCGCGACATGACGCGAGTTTATTTGCAAATTTGCGATAATCATTGCTAGTGATTTTAATAAAATAATATTCGGAGGTCTTGAGGATAAATATATGACGTTTCCGCAGAAGGAATTCCGCAACAATTAAATGCATGTAAAAATTACAACATGAAAAATATATGTTATTTTGCTAAATTGTTTAACTTTAGAAATTCCAAATTTTATTTTATCAAGTGGATCGTTGTGTTTTCCGAATTTAAACAAATTAGACGATTATTTCACCCAACAGTTCATTTATTGTTCCATTCTAAAATTTATTGCTTCATTCGCAAATGCTAAATGACTTGAATTCGTAAACTGGAATGACAGTACCGAGAGACATTTCCGAAACTACAGCGACTATGCGATCATTAGAGTGAAAAAAGGAGTATCTCCGTAATTGGGTCGCCGAGAACGAGAGGCCTGAAAAAAGAAATGCTGATGAGAACGACAGACGTATTCGCATTCTCGATTCTCCATTCGAACGCGATTGTTTGCCGCGCGACATGTGTGCTCCGAGCGGGATAAAAAAGAGAACAGAGAGAAGAAGAACGAGAAGAAGGAAAGAAATGCCGTGGCGTCACCGACCAGAAACAGAACGCCAAATGCGGAGGAAGAGAGAAGATCGCGAACACGAGAGGGAATTACGGGCGGACGAACACCCACGATGCCCGCCCGCACCACCGACAAGCTGTTACACAAAGTCTCTACGAATCCGTTGTTTCGCAATTTATCGGCCGGCATCGATGTGCGACACCGTGCGATATGATATGACACGAGACGAGACGGAGATAGCCGTAGCTTCAAAACGTCACAGAGATCGCCGCGATTGCGATATCCCAAATTCCATGGGTACGCGTTAAGTCTCTTCGGCAATTGCCTCGGCAAAATCTTATTCTTTGCCCATTTAGTCCGTTTAACATTCAATTACGATTAGTTTGAAAATACCAGAAATACGCGAGAGAGATAGATTTAATTGATCGATTTTACGGTAGAATTTTTAAGTCGTATTAAGTCGTAATCGAGGCGTGCATTTGATTTAAAATTTAATTTAAACTTTTAACTAACATAAAGTTAGAATTTTAATTAGAAATTCTAGATTCTGCTTGAAAATCGATTGTGAATTTCAAAAGCAATTAGGAACATCTTCTATTAATGTATTTTCTCTTCCTTATAACTTTCCATTTCTTTTAATTAGAAATTCGATTATCCCTACAGTAATGTTACAAATAATATATATAAATCTTGATTTTGTTATTGTTCAATTTAAAGGATTTTTTATTGAAAAGTGTCAAACTGGACATTTATTATTGATTTTCTGTAAACGTTCTATAAATTTAAAACTTATTATACAATTGACAGTTATTCAATATCACAAAAAAGGAACACTCAACTAAATTTTTATTTCTTTTTAGAAAGAAATAGAACATCATTATTTTAGTACAAAAATATTAATATAAAATTTTCCTTTAAATTAATAAAAAGACAAGAAATAAAAGTAATAAATGTTTCTAATAAATTTTAACTATGTTATAATTAACTAACTTTACTTATTAAACTTATTAATTGCTTATTTATGTACAATTTTTTAACTTGCATAAAAATTGAAATTACTTTTGGAGAAGTGTGCTAATATTTTTACATGTATCATCTGGTAATTGTTTTATGTAGCATTTTATGGGAATTATAATTTTCACAAAAGAAGTAATAGTTACGAAAAGACAAACGGATAAAAGTGACTTTGTGAATTACAAAAATGTAGAATAATAAAATTAAATCGTAGGACCGTATTATTATGGCGTCGTTAGACAAGATGTAGAACAATTTAGCGTCGCAATTATCAAAATGTCACGAATAAATAAAAGGTTACGGCTGCGTGAGGTATGAAAAAAGTGTTGGCGCACGTACAAACGTGGTCACATCTCATGCTTATTAATCGCACAAATTATTCATTCGCGTGCAGACTGCGAAATAGGACGGCGTCAATCTTCGTAACTGAAACTTTAAATTAAATGCTTTACATGACGATTATAATTTGACAGGTTACACGTGCGCGCATATCCCTTGTAATTACTTACATATTCACTCGGCTTTATTGATTAACAGTAATAAATACGCTGCACAAGATGTTTCAAAAATAAATTGGTTGCTAAAAAGAGCAGCATATACTTAATTTAATTGATCTAAAGCAGATCTCTCTCTCTCTCTCT